CTAGGACTGGGTCTGGGGGTTCCCGGAAGTCGGCAGCAATTCCGGACCTGGGCTAGGACTGGGTCTGGGGGCTCCCGGAACTCGGCAGAAAATCCTCACATACTTTGTTTTTATAGAATGTTCATTTACTATTTGCAGTATTTACTACTTCCTTTATTCACTTGAAAATATATAATTTACAATATATGAACAAACTTTCATCTTTAAAATGTAGGGTTGTCATATTAAGCCCGTCATTTATGCACAGATGAATTTTTAAACTAATTTTGATTTATTATGTCATATAATAATGGATAAGAAAGTATATGATTCAGCTCCATGTCACATTCTATTTCAATATATCTATACATAGAGAGATAACACACATATAAAAACACACAATAAACTTATTAAATGTTTTTATTATTAAGTCTCTTGGTTATGCTCTGAAATTTTTTATCCTTCCCTATTCTTAAAAGATGTGTCAGCTTAAGAAAATGGTGCCTTAACTGCTTGTTTTATTTTTTATACATTTTCTTTTATAAACTCTGAAAAGCTTCTATTTCTCGTAGCTTGACTGTAAATACAAATTTTTAAATTGATGTAAATTAGAATTCAGGACAATAAACAGAGGTTTTCTTGAAGCAGTGCAAGATAATTTCCATGAGAGATGAGCGTCTGAAGAGTTTTAATCTAATTTAGGCTAGCCACCATGACCACTTTCTGATTTAACAAACAAGAAAGTGTCCAGCAGTGGCCATGTTCTTTGTCTTACCTTGGCTTAAATACCCCTTTTCAGTTTCTAGGGCAACCATGACAGAATGTGGTTAATATAGATTTTGGTAGTTATAAGCTGTTACCATGGTAGGTCAGGGCTGGATCATGAGAATTTATGATGACATAGGGTTTAACACAATTCTTTGCAATTAGCTTTTCCCCTTCTTATCTCTCTTATGTTTTAAGATATCTAAATGATATAGGGAGAAAAACTGATCTCAGGTGTGTAACCTCCAAATGATACAGGGAACTTCCAAATGACATAGGGAAAAATGAGCTCCCAACCTACCTGGATGGAGTTCATGTCCTCTAAAACTGAAGAATGAATTTTTCCAGCAACAAATGGAGGTTATGAGCAGGATATATTTATTGAGGGAAAGAAAGCTCCTGTATGAGAGAGGGACAGGAGGTGGGCCCAAGCGGGTAGTCCCCGGGAAGCTGTCTCTTCCAGGGACTTTTATAGTGTAAAACCATGTGGGTCTAAAGTGGAGAAAATGGGAACTCGCTTTGATGGGTATGAGGTGAGACAAAACTACAGTCAACCAATGAGATTATAAGCACCATTGCTCAGGTAAAATTGATTAAGTCCAGGACCAAATGGGGAAGGGAGTCATGTAGTGAGCAGGCGTGAATGTAGAATAGGACTTTATCAGGTAGCCATCCAGTAGTAGTCAGATTAATGATTCTTCTGCCTCCCTCAAGGTGATGATCAATCTCTGAGGCCAATCTTTAGGGAGGCCAGTGTTTGTTTGATCTTTAGTCTTCAGGTTTGGCTCACGGCAGGAGCATCTGTCCCTCTCACAGTTGTAAGGTATCTTGTCTTCTGTTTTATCTCCTTCAAGGGCCCAGCCCTGTCTGACTGCCTATAATATTTCTATCTAACTTGGCTGCCTGCAACATTAACAAAGATGGGAGGGAAGGGGACACTCCAGGTGAAGATATGGAGAGTTCTCTCCACCCAGGTGCCCCTTATCTCTAAGAAGATATTCCAAGGGAGGGATAAAGCAATTCAGGCAGAGTCATGGAGATAGATCTGTAAGATAGATCAGAGACTAAACTGAAGCTACTTTAGTCAGGATAAAATTAACCCATTGAAAATTCCATCCTCTGCATTCTGTGTCTGCACAATTGTAATGGTTGATACACTGTGTCAACTTGAGAAATTTAGCAGTTTAACTAAGGACTCAGCATGGATCCTCAGCATGGATCCAGGGTCCTTAGTTTCAATTAGTTATTTTGTTTCGTTTTGTTTTTTGGTACCAGTGATTGAACCCAGGCCCTTGTGCCTGCCAGGCAGGTCACGGTCCTTAATTTGTAAGCATCATCATCCTGTGCAAGAGAAGGGCATGGAGACTGAGAGTGTTACACCTACCCTGGGGGGGCAGGATCGCCTGCTTAAGATAAAAGGGAGGAAAAGAGGCTCACTTCCCACTTTGCTCTTGCAGCTTTTGCTGTCTTCTTCTATTTTCTGCTGCCATGAACTGTAGCCCCTGTGCCCTGCCACCCTGCCTTGGAGTCAAATCATTACAGATTGAAACCTCCACAAACTGTTAACTCAATAAACCTTTCCTTCCTTAACTTTGGGCAGTGGGCATTTTTGTCTCATCAGCCAGAGAAAAGCAACCAAAACAAGAACCAATGGTATTTTATATGGGGATCTGCATTCTTCTAAATTTGATGAAAGAACTGGACAAGCAGCAGTGATTGGCCCTGACCTCCAGCTTCTGACGGCATGATACCATAGCTGCACAGATCCAGAACCCAAAGCTGCAGAAGCCACCAGAGCTGTTGCTTTCATAGTGTTCTCTTCCAAATTCTACAATGATGACAACACACTGGAGTAGAATGTCTGGATACCACAAGTGGCCTCCAGCTCTCACTGAAGCTCATAGCTGGACAGAAGTTGCTGACATGGCTGCAGACTTTCATATCTATTTTGCCTTGTTGATCAACAGTACCAAACAGTGGTAAGATGGCATTTGCCTTTCTTCTAAGTCTCAGGTGAAGGAATTTCACTTCGAATCTAATTTACAACAAAAATAACAATTGAAAGGAGCCTGGAAGAAATGAAATTTTAAGCTTTCTAGACCATGAATTTTTTTATTTTATTTTTTTAACCCATAAATTTATTCATAAATAAATAGCAATGAGATAGTGTCAAATCAAATTGATAGGACAGTTTCAATAAATAACACTTTGCATACATTCCTCTCAGTGGTTAATTGGTGCACAAGATGCAGACATGATATCCTATTTACAAACACCATTAGAACAAATCCTTCTATTCACTAAGAGATTGTAACTATATATCTATCCTAATCACTTTGAGTACACAGATATAAAATGGACATTGATCTGGATAGCCTTTTTTGTGAAGTTCTGTTATTTGAATATGACAGGTGTGTTAATTCAACAAAATAATCTAAAAGAGTACAGTAGTCCATAATAGTATTGGGTCTCCTGCTTGATTGGCAATGTCAGAAATTGTTGACCTGAGTCCCCTACAGCTCAACATAACAGCATGGCTTTACTTTTTATATTTTGTTTTTATACTTTTCTGCTGGGTGGTTAAGGCCAAGGTAAAGCAGGACCTATGCAACAAGAGTTGTAGCTTTAGGGTCTGATAAGGTTAGTGAAATCCCCTCAGGATTTATCCTGAGATCCTGTACCTCAGATTGTTTGTCAGTGTCAGCCATGTGGATGAGTCACGGCCATTGCTTGGTCAATGTGCTCCCTGTGAAAGCCTGAGAGAATGTTTTCTCTCCATGTGACTCTCCTTAGGCACACTCTACATCAGAGATCACTTTCTTCTTTGGCCCCATAATCACCTTGATCAGAAAATTTGGGACACTGCCGGGTTACATGACGTTATAGTACAAGTTCTTATATGTCCTGAGTCTTAATTGACCTTGGAAGGCTAGGGCCAAAATGTTTGCTTTCTTTGCAGCCCTGCTTTTCATCTAATTTTGGTCTGCAAACTTAGTTTGTTAACCATTCAGAAGAGAAGCTTATTGTTATTACCATACAACTTAGGCTGTTAAGCTTAACTTCACTCTCTGTCTGCATATCAAACATCTTAGGCAAGTATGGTGCAAGTATTTTCTTCATCCAGTACTGATATGTTGAACTTTAAGTCCCTACAGAATATGATAAAAACATTTAAAAACTAGAATATATTTTAAAAATAAGCATAAAGAATTATGTACATCTTATGTTTACACATAAGTAAAAAAATCTCACCATATACAGAAGCAGGACAGTCCCACAATATTATTTTCCTGTCTTTTGCTTTCATTTACCACCCCCTTCTTCTTGAACAACCATCTACCCTAGAGACTTCATAGCAGCAAATGGCATGTCATGACAAGCAGCCCATATTCAGAAAGCCAGAATGACAGGCACTTCAAGCATGAAACTACTATTACAGATTACGATCTGCAGTGCAGTTGCTTAGTTCACAGGTATCAGTATATATAGTTAGTCAGGGTGAGAATCTTTCCAGTTAACTGCTAGATTAGAAAAATCTTCTGGAGATTCTCAGGATCATTGCCTTGCCCATCTTTTATATATAACTGTATGTCTTGACATTGTCATATTTCCTAACTTTTCTCCTTTCCCTGTCTTTATTATTTAGTCCTTGAGATCCTGCTTCCCTTTTACCTGTACTATACCTTTCTATTTGTATTTCTCCTTTTGAGTTCTTATACTGGGGAAAATATATGATATTTACACATGTGTGTCTGGTTTATTTCACTTATAGACCATGAATTTTTTTTTTAAACTTCAAAAAGTAGGAAAGGATGACATGGAGGAACATCATGGGTTTTAAGGACTTTGCTCAATAGTTGAATTTGTTTCTCTACTGGTTTTGAACCTAAGCTTCCAGGGCCTAAGGAGCAGCTATTTATAGTAGCCCAATCACATTGCTCCAGTCCATTCACTGAGTAACCTATCACCTGAACCTCAACATAAATCTGGAATTACCAAAAAGAAACAACCAAATCCAAGCAAAAAAGTTGATATTTTTGGATGGAGAGAATAAAGTTATTTGGGAAGAAATCTCTTATTAGTATCATCAGATGAAAAATTATTGCATCTAAGAAATAAGCATAAAAAGAGAGCTCATGGAAAATATAAAGAAATTAAAATCTCAATGAAATGGCTAGAAATTAAAACAATTCGGACTCTTTTTCCCGTGCTGCACTGCAAGCTTTCTTTTCATCTTCCGGTTCCAGGCGCTTGGTCGCCGCGGTTTACAGTGCAGTTATGGCCAAGTCCAAGAACCACACCA